GTATGCATATGCATTCTTTTTCCCTTCCCCTTCTTGTAGAACTGTATAAATATCAGGGAATCCATTTTGCCTGCAGGGGAGTGTCTCCCATTAACCCTTGGTGGGGTCCCCCTCCAGTACGTACTGTTTAATAAACACGGCAGCGAAGCTTTGATTATTTTGCATTTGTGTCCTGTGTTTTGATTCCACAATTGCTTTACATTCCTCTTAAAGTATAATGTTTGAATTCATCAAGATGCTTTGTTTATAGATGACGTTTTCAGATGACTTGACCGCTGCAGCAGAAGATATCTATGTTCATAGAACTTCAACCACTGAGCCTAGTGAAACTTCTCCCAGTATGTCCAGTGGTCGAACTGAACAGTTCTCTAGTTTCAGTTCTCCTGATTTGCCAGCTGCGATTCGAACAGCATTTGTGTTGGGGGTAAGAATGGCTTTCTATGCAATGTTCTATACAGGTAGTCGCCAGTTTAAGAACAAGTTCTGTTCCCAAGGTCTGTCCTTAAGTTGAATTTGTATGTAAGCCAGAACAGTATCATTGTATAATACTGTATAAGTAGTTTGTGTAATTAACTCAAACCATTGGATATGTAACTCAAATCATTGTGTATTTAACTCAAATTTTGCTACAAAAGGCTCCGTTCTTAACTATGGATCGTCTGTAATCTGGGTGTTCTTAACCCAGGGACTACCTATATTTTAAGACTTCCTACCCATGGAATGCCCTACTTTGGCAGTTTGTAAGAGACTGGCTTACGGGACTCCATTTGGAATTGCCTTGGTATACTTTTAAGGCAAATAGAATGAATTTACTTAGGACCACACTTTGCATAGGTTCTAATTTAATTGTAGTTAAAGGATGTGCAGAAAATTAAAAATGCAGTTAACTACTTCTGAAACTGCTGCTACCAGTGGAAGGGGATGGGCCAATTCCTTGTGCATCCACACTGCATCTTCCAATTCTGTTTCAGGGGATTGAGAAACATTTGGAGAACGCTTGGGAGTGGCACAGACTATAGGAAAAAGAAGAAAAAGTCCTATTATATAAGCAAACTTTTACTTGTTTCCGGTTGAGTTCATTCATTGAAATCCAAGATACTATGCTTGCTGAAAACTATTTTTAACTTGATTTTATTGTAAATGATCAAAATGTAATTTACAAAATGTATGTAGCTTTTCAAACCATATATGATGTTCATCAAATAACTGCTCCCCAGTGATCTGATTTGTACAATATTTTGGACTCTTTGTTTATTCTGCATCATAAACAGCAGTTCCTGTACCTGTGCAGATTATTCAGATACCTAAGAATGTATGTCAAAAGTGATATGTATATATATTCAAAATACCCAATAATTAAAATTAAAGTTTAAAATTAAACTTTTAAATTAACACACAACAGATATCTCAAGCTGCAAATATTTGATGAATCAGCAACAATTTTAATGCAACCATCTTGAAGTGGTAGCGAGTTCAAAGACAAGAGGCGTCAGAAACAGTACCTTAAATTGCAGTCAGAAATATATTGTGACCAACACAGTACCCAAGATATGAGTTTCTGTATTGTAGTGCAAAGGCTAAAGATTAAAATCAAGTTGGATAAACTGAATTTATTCAACGTCAGTCTTTTTATTATGTACATGTATATGTATATCTACCTATTGACAAAAGTAAAGGAGTAATGAAAATAACCAGCATTCTTCTTTTAGGAAGCCACACCAGTAGAGCACCCTTTTAGTGCTGTGAAACGTGAACAACAGAAAAAATGGCTTGAAGAGCTTGATAAGCAAAAGGAAGCTGACAAGCTGCGAAAAATGGAAGAAAAATGTAATTTTTCCAAGGTAGCCATGGTTAAAAATAGAGTGTCTAATAAAAGCATTTATCCAGTTGTTTTCTTAGAAAATAGAATTATAGCAACTGAAGCTACAAAACATGCATGTTCAAATGTGCTAGTGAAAATAAATATTCCAGTTAGCATGCATAATTTGAACCCTGGCCACTTAGTTCAGGAACCCTCAGAATAAATGGTCCAGTGAAATTCCGAATGCTGCTCAACAGTTTGTCAATACATCAAACATTTCTGAACTCAGACAGTCCTTAGTCAATGTGAAGGATGCCTATGTAGTCTAATATATTTTGTTGGAATTTTTGAAACGTAATATCCAGAAATTCAATCCTAATTCTTCCTATCCTTGGTTCAACAAAGAGTGTCTCACTACTAGTCAAACTTGTTAGAGCATCCGGGGCCTTTAAGGACACTAATGAACATTCTTTATATCTGTGTCCTGAAAAAATATAAAGCCCTATGGAAAAATTAAAAAATGGAAGTGCAAAAGGCTGTTTGGAAGAAATTGGCAGAAGAGAAAAATCTCAGTGTTTTTGGTGGTTTGTTATCTAAACAATCCCTCAAAATCAAAGCAGGATGTTCAATCCCATTCAAGACATGGAATGAATATTTCATGGTAGCAATTCCTTTCTGTTCTGTGCTGATGGTGCAATTATTCTTCCACAAATTCAAATTGTCCTTTAGTGAAACCTTAAGCCCGTGCATTATTTTGTGGTGAAGAAGAACTAGAAATTAACTATACTAAAAGTAAACTAGTTTTATTTACTGGCCCTCACAAAATGGCCAGCATAAATGGAAAGTAACAGCACTCAAACTGAACAAATTAGGGTTTTTCAATATTTGGGAATTTATTTCCCATCTTCTACTGAGAGATGGGATGTTTCATCCTGGACCCAGAAGGCTTCTAATGTTATATGGAGCTTCGCCAGATGCAACACTGATTTTGTTCCAGCTGCTACTAAGCTATTCAGACCAAAGGTACTAAGCCTCTTGGTATATGGGGAAAAGCTTTGTTCTTATAAAGCCACAAATCCTCTAGAAGTAATTCAGTCTAAACAGCTAAGCTCCCTGCTCTATGCTTCCATTGTGTAACTCTTTCGTTTGGATCTTTATAACAGGAAATTTGGACATATACTTAAATATTTTTTTCTTTGTATTTCTTTAGGGTGAAGAGCATGACAGGTGGACAATACATTTTGATTCTTTCAAGAATCATATGAATTCGTTTACACAATATCCTTTAAATACAACATTTCAAAAGACTCCTGAGGCTGTACAACTCTCCCAGGACTCCCAGGACCAAACAGCTTGTACATCTGCAGCTTTGTCTCATCTCACACCTACAGAGGTGGAGATTCCAGGAAAAGCAATTGGAAACCATATTTCAGAGCCAAATCAAAAAGCCAGGTGATTGCCTACAATTTTCCTTCCAGGTTGCAGCCAGGCTTTAATTAGCATTATTGATAAAACTCTTGTTTCAATACATTGTTAGTTGCAGTATTACTCTGTATTTATGTTCATTGCTCTAGAATATTTTTTCTTTAAGATTTGTCTCATTTCACTAAAAATACTTCTTGGGGAATAAAGCTACTTGTGCAAAATTATTTTGAATATAGTATCTGGTGTCCCGAAATGTCACAGGGCCCTTTTACAACACTTTTATGTCAAGGTTTGCTTGGTTAAAGCAAGAATCTGTTCACTATGTCCTCAGGTCCTAGTTGAAGAAAGTACTCAAGACACAAGAATTAGTTTTCAGTGTCTATTTACATACATACAGTAACATACAGAAGTCCTCTGATGAACGGCATACAGCAGTTCCACAGCAGTCCAATGAGTCAATATAATAGTATCCAATCCAAGTTCAATGTAGAATAGCAAGCGGTAGAGAAATTGAGAGAAAGCATACAGATACGAATGTACATTTATATATCCAATGACCAATAGGAACGTACATTGCATCATCCTAGTAGACATATTTCATCATCTTTCATAAGCTTCCTTTCATTCTTACATCAGCTTCCTTTCATTCTTACATCAGCTTCCTTTCAGCTATAATGACACAGCATTATTTCTGCTGATTAATGTTCTGTATTGTAAATTCTGATGTGTATTTCTACAAACATCAACATTTTACATGTTTGTATAGTGGATGAAGAGAGCTGCAGGTAGCTGATGAATCCAAGTATTATTGTATTTTTCTTCTCCATTAAAGGTGAGGGAAAATTCAGACTTGGAGAGGCAGCTAGAACTTTATTTTGCCCCACCCAGAGCTGGCTGCAATTCATTAGGGTAACAAGGACTATAAAATTGAATTTCCTGATTGGGGCAAGGATGTAGTCCTCCACCCAAAAGCCCTAGGAAACCTGGAATCAGTAGGGTAAATTTGTCCGGGAAAGTTATAGGCAGAAACTCCAGGTGTTTTTTTTCAGCACCGCTTTGCTCAGTTAATGTAGTTTTATTTTTGCTAACATTTTATATCTATGTTTGTTTATTCATCTTTTGATTCCTAACTCTTCTATGTAGATCTAGGCCTCCTATAACGTGGTTCAACTCTCTTATTCCCCATGTACCCACTTTGTTGGATTTATTAAAATGACATTGTTATTGCAATGTTGGGTTTGTAGTATCATTACATAATCCAAAATTGCTTGGGACTAGTTACTCAGTTTACAAACTGGACCAATAAGCTTAAAAGCCTAGCCAAGTGGAAACTACACCCAGATACCTTGGAACTCAGGTGTGAAGGTTGGCCCAGTTAAAAGTGGAAAAGTGACCCTGGAAAATGTTGAGGGGATAGGGGGATGGAGATTCTAGGAAAAGGCATGGTGTTTTGTGACAAAGAGTGAGAGTTTGTTTAATTATATATCTTTCCAAATTCTCCTCTGCTGATAGTTTCCTTCGTTCAATGACTGCTCTTCTGGATCCTGCTCAGATTGACGAACGAGGGAGGCGACGACAAAAACAATTAGAGCATCAGGTAAAATCACTATAGTGTTGCCTTTCTGGTGTATTGATTTATGTTTTTTCATAAGTGGAGAAAGCAGTACCATTGGATTTTAAAAAATGGAACAAGTAACATGAACTGTGGCAATAGAATGAGCTTAGAATGCGATTAAGGCCATGACACAGCATCTCTCAACTTAAACCTAATTATTTTTAAATAAGTTTATTTATGACAGATATATTTCCTATCTCTCAGAAATATAGGCTTATCTGTATCATTTCTCCTTCTCTGAAGTTTTAAGTGAGCCAGATGGTCTCAGATTATTATAATTTTAGGAATGGAGGTACATTTTGAAACCTATGCCTTCATCACTCAACCTTTTTGTTCATTTGTAAACCACCTCTTGTTCATTTACATTTTATTTGCCACATGACCCCTTTCTCATATATCCATTTAGGCAGAAATTGTCTTAAAGCTATGGTACGTTTTGTCAGTAATAGAAAGCATAATCTCCTAGCTGCTCCTTTTGACTTCCTCTTTGAGAAATCTCTTCTAAGTTTGCTTGAACTGGAGGAGGCTTCCTACTGAATGCAATGATTTTTGCATCCCAGTAGCTCTATAGGTTTTTCTTTGTGTATTTTAAAACAAATATACTTAAAGCCTAGATAAAGTTTTAATGGCTGGGAAAAAAAAAGCCAGACAAAATTAGAAGGCAGGAAGATCGAAGCTTTTAGCATAGGTTAAAACTTGTTATAAATTTGGGTTTTCTAGAAAGCCATAATGGCACAAGTGGAAGAAAAGCGGAAAAAGAAAGAGATGGAAGAAGAACAAAGAAAACTGGAAGAACAAGAAGAAGAGTGCCGGCTTGCTAGAGAACAAGAATTGATGAAGAAGCAGTTTGAAGAAGATCTGCTGAAGCAGAAACAAAAAGAGGTAAATATTCAGAGTGTTCTGTGACAATAAACTACCGATCTCTGTCAGCCCCAGATAATGGTATCTGATGCAGGTGAGAATTTCTGTTTATTAAAAAGCTTAGTGAGGGGAAGGATTCTGTTTCAACTGCTTTATAGCTGTGAAGATACTTTTAGATAAAGCCTGGTGAAATTGCAGGGATCAGAGAGATGGAAGGCCGTGTAAGAGTATCAGTGTTTTGGAAAAATCTGTCAAGCTTGGTATAGCTCATCTTCCCTACAAGCAAACCTCAGTTTTCAGAAGAAAGAGTTTAAATAAAGTTTGCAACAAATTAGAACAAACAGAAAGGTTCTTACTGTATATAACTATGAAAGTTTCGATACATGGCTTAGTCTGTCAGATGCCCCACGTCTTTGCTATTTTTGTTCTGAAATATCAGTTTGCCCTCAGGTTGTAAATGAACTCCTTAGATGCAAGTGCTGAATGTTGGGAACGTCTGCCCTTTAAACTGAGTACAGTACAAGGATCCCAGACTTAGCAGCCACTGTGGCTAAGTTTTACTCCTTGGCATAAGCCACAATCACATTGTCCTTTTTGGCTCTTTTCATGAAATTCAGATCTAGAAATGAACAAAAACATTTTAATTTCTTAAGTTTAAACTTAGACTTGGCCAGAATTAGAAAAAGTGTTTGATGGGGCTGTAAGGAGTCTAGCCATGGTATTTTGTATCAACTGTAGCTTCTATGCTGTCTCCAAAAGCAGCCCCATGTACACACATTGCAGTAGTCGAGCTGGCTGGTGATCAGGATATGAGTTACCATCACCAGGGTATCTTGGTCCAAGTAGAGCAGCCAAAGGCCACTAGCCAAAGCAGGACTATGGCTCCCCTGGCCTCAGTTTCCATCTGCTGTTTAAAATCTAAACTGGACAGATTTTTAATCAGGTGATGGCAGTGTCCCAGATGTTATGTAAGGGAATTTATTTTAAAGGTTCAAAAATGTTTTAAAAATCATAACCCCAACCACATTTTCTGCAGTTTGGATAGCAGGTAGTTTCCCTAAGCCTTGGACTGTCCAATCCAAAGCTATCTACTGGATCATCCTGGACTGAAAGTCAAAAGAAAGATTTTCTTTCACTTAAGCCTTTGTCAGGCAGCAAGACATTCCTGAATTCTTTATTTATATTTTTGTCCTCATTTGCTTCTTCAGTGAGGGCTGAAGCCAGCAAGGCCAGAATTAAAGGCTCTGAGGCCAAACAAGGCTGTTATCAAAATACAGTACAGATGTTCTCAACATTCAAGGCTTAGAAATGGATGGCAAAAAATCTATTACTACATAAGGGCAGGAGAAAGAGATGCCGGATTTAAACCTGGAGCTGACTCATAAATATGACTAGATTCTAGATTCTGCAGTAGGTGATCTTTATTTATAAAAGCATCTTTTGCATCTGTGATAACAATTTACCTGTCTGATCCTTTTCCTTGAGTCTTCTGTTGCTAAGCTCATAGAGTATATGTGCATTCAGAGAGAGAGATTTATTGCCATGCCCAGGATGACATTCTGACATCTTTCTCTCAGTTAGTTCCTCAGTTCTGCTTAGCCTTTTTCACTTCTAGTTGCTATTTACCCCCTCCCTCCCTTGGCAGTATCACATTAGAAGAATCTTGAAAAATACTTAATCTCTTTCAGATACTCATACCCTTTTCTCCTTTGAAAATCCTATAAGATGCAAACAGAAACAGGTAGTGTTTTAAACAGATTCAGTATTTATTTTTACAATATTCTTCAGTATCTATACTTTTTTTATCCTATTAGGAAATCATGACCCTTAAAACAAATGAGTTGTATCAAACAATGCAGAGAGCTCAAGAATTAGCTCAAAGATTAAAGCAGGAGCAGCGAATTAAAGATTTGGCTCAGAAAGGGCATGATACTTCAAAACTGCAGAAGAATCTCAGTGGTTGTAAGTATCATACTTAAAAAGAATATTATAGAGTTGAATTAAAATGTGTTTCACATCAAGGACCATAGAAACATATCTTTAGAATACCTGATGCTAAAAGATTTCCAAACAGCAGGTTTTGGGAAATACTTTGAATACAGTCTCTTAGTTAGCTATGCTGTACTGTAACTAAACTTAAGTACGTGTAACTAGAATATTAACATTTTTTTCAATCTACCACTACCTCTCAATTTTTTTTCTTTAGAATGTATTTCTGTTTATTTTTGTGTAATTCTTTTATTTTACACATACGCTGTCTTTAAAAATAAGAAAATGCTGATCCTTATTAATCTCTACACCTGGGATGGGCCATCCTTTTGGTTTGAAGAGACCCATTTATTGGCAGATTTTGGGGTGATATTTTCACATGTATGCATGTTAGTTAATGCACATACATATATGTGACTTCCTTCTCCCTACTCCTCCACCTCCCTTATTAAGTGGTGTTTATGCTAAAATTATTGATAAAAGCAAAGGTTTAAATTCAGCATCAAACATGTTAAGAAGCATAGAGCTGGAGTATTCTTTGAATGACTTACTTTCCTTCTCTTTAGGTGATGTACCAAAAGAGAATAATTACGCTGACATGAATGGGGTTTTAGAGACTCATGATCATTATAAGCACTGTCTTGCAGAGAATAGCAGCAAAGGAAATGAGAGAGACAAAACGACTTCCTCTCCTCGGAAAGACACAGCTGTGCAGACAGGTACACTAGTTCATTATACAACTCCTTTTTTACTTATTTCTCCACACTATAATGCTTTGGCAGACTCATGTTCAGCATCCTGTTTGGGGTTACCCATATTCTTTTGCTAAGTGGTAGCAGACCTTCCCACAGGCTACTGTGACACTTTTGCAGATTTCATAGCTGACCAAATCTCTTGCATTCGTTCAGAGTTGGACACAAGGTGGACAGTCTGCTGAGATGACTTGAGCAACAGCTTGAGAGATCATCTGGAATTCTTCTGAGTTTGTAGAAACCGAGGAAGTAGATAGGATACCTTTGGCATGAGCTCTGCCTCCTGTGGATTGGATTCATGCCCCACCTCTCTCCTTCAGGAGGTTGGGTAAGGGATGGTGGCTGAAAGTGGTTTGTGATAAGTGCCTTTTTAAGAGGGGCCAAGTACCACCTACCTTGAAAGAAACAGTGTTGTAGTCCTTCCTGAAGAAGCCATCTTTCAACCCAGCCACATTGGATAACTTCCATTCAATCTTCCCTTCCCTTTCTTCAGTTACAATGGCTACTAGAGGAAATCTGTACCCCTTTCAGGCTGAATTCATACCTAGGCATTAGCCAGCTTAGTCTTTATTTATTTCAATTTATAAACTCTCAAAATAGAATGACCCAAAGTGGTGTACAGAAAATTAAAAATACATCACAAAAACCAATTATGAGGGAACCAATAAAACAAAAGATCATGTCATATGCAATAATACGTCACCATATGTCACCGTGTGAAATACAGAATATTAAAAAGTATTTTAAAAAAACATAAAACATTATACTGCTAAGCAGTCCTACAAAAAGCCAAGTCCTAAAAGACAAAAGGGTCAGGGAGAAGTTCTGCAGCAGAATGCCTGTTCCAGAGGACAGGACTGACAACAGCGAAGGTCCCGTAAGATGACACTGTTTGGTAAATGAGACCTAAAGCATGACTTGTTCTGAAATTCTTGTCTTGCTGGCTAATTTAGAATTTGCAGGATGGATACCTAAGGAGGAGGCATTAAAAGAGATGCCAGGACCAAAACAAACAACATTATGTTTGTTTAAATTGTCACCATTAATTACTTAACAGCATCCAATTGCCATGGTGAGCCCAAGTGGCAGGAACAGTCTCCAGAACTTGACTCACAAAGGGGTTGCTTTCGTTAGGCAAGTTTTATAGCCCTCCAACCTCTCTTTCTCCCTCCACCCCCAGAGTTGTTTAGTTTAGGCATCAGCAAAGGAAGGTTACATATTAATGAGGATTGAGTGTCTAGCAGGCATTGGGTACCTACTACAAGAAAAGAGAGAAATAACTAACTGGGGTTTGAGCAGAAAGTTTGTTATCTCCAATTTACAAGAGTAAATAGGAAGAGCTAGCTTATTTAAGCAGCCTCTCTTCCAGGTGTTAACTGAAAAATGCAGGTCAATCAAAAGACAGGTGACAATTCTGCAGTTGCTGCACCTTGCCCTTCTGTGACATAGTTTACATGGGGCCGCCATTGAAGATGGCTCAGAAAATGCAGTGGCCTGATAGCTGGCAGGAGGAGACAATTCAGCAATTTAGCTAAATGTATATTTTGATTTGCTAGAGATTGCTGTCATTGATTTAGACACTACTTCCAAAAAATCCTGGGGGATAACAGATTGCTTATCCTGGTAAAGAATGTAAGATAACATTAGTAAGTTATTGTTCTTCCTGGAAGGACATGAATGTTGCTGTGTCAGTTCTATAAAATAAACTATATTGGAATAGATTATTTTAATTACAATATAATATAATTTTCATTACAATATCATATACTGGAGATGATTTCCATTGGATTTAATGGTCATGCACTCACTCACCTTGGAACAGGTCACTTTAAGAAGAGTTTGGGATAAATGTTATCCCTGCAGTTTTTAATTTGTTTACTAATGCTAAATGTTTTTTTTTCTTACCTTGGTTGGCATTAAAAGTAAAATGTTTAGAGTAGTGTTAGTTATTATAATTATGCATCATATTTGAATAAACATAGATCTATTGAAGGAGCTATTTAAACATGTGTTTGTTTATTTATTTCCTAGAGGTTGCAGTCACTGATTTGTACACTGATTCTGAAATTTCCCCTACGCCAGTTGGGGAAGGAAGAATGGACTGTGCGTCTCCAGATGTTGCTGTAGAATATAAAATGGACAATAAAAGAAGTAAGAAAGAAGCACAATATCTAGATAAAAAGATTTCAGAAAAAGAGAATATTATCAGCTGTTGCAATCGCTATGAACAGTGTTCTCAAAAGCAGAAACATCCCAAGGCAGTGGGAAAAAATGGGAAAAGGCTGGACTGGAACATAAACAAACCTTGCAAAAGATACATTCCAGCCTCTGAGAAATATCCCAGACTCCAGCAAAAGCAAAGGGAAGAAAAGAAAGCACAGCGACAAATGGCACTGCTTCAGTTGGTTGAAAGAAACAGCCCTGGCAATCTTTGCAAGAAAAAAGGAGTTTCTCCAGACAGATCCCTCTCACCTCGCCAGGACAATGAGGTCAGAAGTAAGGTAAGTGCCTTCAAAAAGTAAAGACAGCCTCGTCATAAACCACTGTTTCAAACCACAAGTATTGGCAATAGTGGTGAATTTAATGTCACGCACAGAGAAATGGGGTGTAACTGAACATAGCATAGAATCATCTTTATATATTTGAATTACATTTTTCAGAAGAGGCTGAACAGGAAAAATAAATGCAGATTCCTCCAAAACAGCCCCAGAAGTATTTCTAAGAATGATCTATGGTGCCGTGCAGTGCTAACTACTGCTAGTACCACTGCTGCTGCCGCCGCCTCCACCTCTTCCTCCGCCTCTTCCTCCTCCTCCTCTTCTCCTTCTCCTTCTTTCAATTACAGTGGTTAAAAGAAGAAAAAAGAAGAGCCATATATTAGTAATATAAAATTAATCCAATCCTTAAATTTATTAAATACAGACTATATAGAAATATATTGCTTCATCTTCTTATTTTTACAATATACATTTCAGAAATTGATAAGGGACTTATCTTGAAGGTATCCTTTAACTTCAGGAATATAATTTTTTTTCCCATCTGTGATTAGTAGAGCCAGGGTTCTTTTAACACAACATTTTCTGATGAATTTAATTCATTCTTAAGTCATAAGATATATATTTTACATTTCTTAAAATTTGGACCCATTGATTTTCCAAAATTGAATATTCCAATTCCTCATTCCAGGTTTCATATATATTACCAATGTTTACCTTCGTCTCATTTTTTAGTTTTGAATAAAATTGTATTATTGATTTTACTTCAAATACAGTATCTCTGATTCTAGACTACCAGGTATCTTTGAAACTGCTAAAACATCTAGACTATTGTTTGGTCAATACATGTTTTCATTATATATACTGCCAAGCAGATGATTTAGCTAAGTCATACTCAGCATAGTCTCTCAAAACCCTTAAAGTGAGCACTATCCATTAATTGATTTAAGGTATTTATCTCTTGCTTGGCCCAGGACTTCCAATAAAACAGTTTACCCTCTGTCTTCAAATTAGGATTATTCTGCATCAGTTTCTCATGTGATTCTGGACTAAAGGTTAGGCATTTACCTATTAATGACCAAATATATCTGGCAGCTTTCAAAGCAGGAAAAGACAATTTCTATTTACTGGAAGTTGTCCTAAACACAAGTTGTCTCTTGGGATTTCAAAGGGGTGACACATTTCCTTCTAATCAAGCCCAGAGTGGGTAATATTGGGGGGGGGGAAATGTTCTCACTTCATAGCAATATAGATTTTAAAATAAAAATGTAGTGTTAAAGTGGAAAGTCTGGCAATTTAAAGCATCAGCTTCATAGGACAATTTAGCCAAAGAAATTTGAGTCTTGATTTGCCATTAGAATTTTCTTCATAATTTATCTATTTGTATAAATTGAATTAATGTTGGAATCTCTCTAAAACTCTACATCAATCTAGAGGTAATATTTATTTTAATTACATTAATCTTGCCCCAAAGACTCAATGGTAATTTTAACCATTGATTTATATCCACTCAAATCAAATCTACGCTTCTAGACATATTTAATTCAACATATTGTGATATATCTAATAAAAAGAAATAAAGGTTCAAGAAGCAAATTAAAAATTAAAGGAGACAAAAGGCATCCATGAGAGGTGCTACAGTGTAGCTTAATAGATACAAAATAATCCATTTGTAATAACTCTGGAGACAGGATAGAGATACCAAATTGTAACCAAATGTAGAAGAGTTAATGGGAACCCAAAACAGTTCAGAAACTTCAGCTGAACTGTATCAAAGGCCTTTTCAGCATATAATGAGATTAAAACAGCAAGATCTTAATTTATCTGCTACTGTATCCAAAATACCAATCTCTAAAGAAATATTGGCAGATTCCTGTCTGTATAAATCCAGACTGAGATGAAAATTCAGGATGGTATGAAATGCTGTAATCTCCTAGCTAATGTCACTAATAATAATTTAGCATCAACATTAAACAGTTATGTCAGTGTATAATGGCACATTTAGTAGGATTGTTCCCTGGGTTCAATATTACTGAAATATAGGACTCATGAAACAAAGAAGGAAGTTTAGTAAGGTTAAATGGCTCATTATAAACCTGTAATATAATATAAATCTGTAATATAAATATATTACAGATGTAATATAAATCTGTAAAAATTCTTTACCATTTGATTGAAAAATTGTGAGGACCAGGGTCTTTCCCCAGTTTCATAGATTTGTCTCTCTGATTTTTTTTGTAGTGACAGTGGTTGTGCCTGTTTCCTTTTATGTTCTTGAGAAATCTCTTCCATTTCAGTATCTCCCAGGAAATTATTAATTCAGTTGCAAGTGCCTTTGATTTATATAATTTAGTATAAAAATAATAACAAAAATCTCTGATAGTTAATATATTTTGTATCAGTATAACTGGCCATCATTGGCCTGAATTCCAGAAATAAAATTTTGTTGCTTTTGTTGTTTCAACCAATAAGCTAAAAACTTTCCACTTTCACTCCAGATTCTCAAGAGCCACAGAAACTTTATTTCAGTCATTGATCAATAAAAGTACATTCTATAAAACAAACAAAGCAAAATTATCCCCTAACATCAATAACTGTTAGCAACCATT